GCATAACATCTGGTTCAGGGTGTTGGCTCAGTAAAAATGAGCTCAGAGTTACTTCTAAAGGATTTTCTAGTATAAGACAGCAACCATATGAGAACACATTAATAGGCTGTGTTAAGTCAGGAGAGAAACTAATTTCTCCTTTTAGGATGGACAGTTGAATGTATGTCAAGAAATGTGCTTAGAATGGTGAGCTGAGATATAATTGACCTGTGAATCACTGTTCTTAGCAGTTTGTAGGAGAGCCTTGTGAACATTTCCTCACTCTCAGCTCCAGGCACACAGTGGAGAAGCTGGAATGTATCAAGGTACTTTTAAGTATTGGTTTCAGATTTCACTGAGGCTTTGCAGTAGTGTACAGGAAAATAATTCATCTTCAGCTAGCTGTAGACTCTTAGTCGCGAGCATTCCCACCATCACACCCCTACCTGAGCTGCTTGCTGCCTCCTTTTACTGTTCACTTTACTAGATGTAATAAGACCCAAAAGACAGGACAGTCATCAGTCAATGAGTATGACTGAACTCCCACTGTATTCCAGGCAGTGCTCTCGAGTCACAGCAGCAATCTCTGCCCTCATAGGAAGAGACAAGCAATAAGTAAGTAAAACTATAGGTATATTTTTTTGCCTTTTTGTCAGAAGGCAAAACAATCTAGGGAGAAAAGAAATCAGAGAAAACCTTCTGAAAATTAATGTTTGAATAAGATTGTTGGGGGCCAACCAAACCATTTTGAGGGGTGGGAGGCATCGTTCCAGACAGATAAGACAGCAAGCACGAGTGCTTCAGGTGTTTGAGGAACAGCAAGGAGACTGGTTCAGCTAGAGCAACGGCACAGTTGTAGTTCATCACTTAGGGTAAGAAGAGAAGTTACTGGAAAGTTTTGAGCAGGGGAGCAATATGACTTGACCTACAATTTAACGGAAGAGAACAGACAGAAGAGACACAGGGCAGAGGCTGAGACTAGTTAGGAGGCCACTGCAGTGATCCAGGCAAGGGATGGATGCCAGCAGCGTGGACCAGGATGGCAGCAGTGGTGGTGACGAGAGGTGCTCAGCTCTCAGCATGTTTTGAGTTAGAGCTAGTAGGACTGGCTGGTGTATTAGATTTGAGGTATAAGAGATTGAGAAGAATGGCCGGGCATGGTGGCTCACGCCTGTAATCCAAACACTTTGGAGGCCAAGGTGGGTGGATCACCTGAGGTTGGGAGTTCAAGACCAGCCTGACTAACATGGTGAAACTCCGTCTATTAAAAAAAAAAAAAAAAGATTTTAAAAAAGAGAGATTGAGAAGAGTCAAATAAAGCCTACATGCATGGATTTCATTAAACATTTAAATACCTACTGTGTACCCCATTGTAATCACCCAATGGGTTCTTCCTGCCCACTGCACACAAACAGAACCAATTCACTGAGGCCACTGCATGAAGAAAGAGTTTAATTGACATGCAGCCGGTCACTCCATGTGGGAGATGGAGTTACTACTAAAACCAGTCTAAAAAATTCAGAGGTTTTTCAAGGAGAGTTTAGCGGGTAGGGGGTTAGGGGAATGGGTACTGCTGATTGGTTGGGGATGCAATCACAGGGGTGTGGACAATGGTCTTCCTGCACCAAGTCCCTTTCTGGGTGGGGCCACAGAACTGGTTGGCAGGTCCAGGTGAAGCTATCAGTCCTCAGAAATGCAAAAGCCTGAAAAGATGTCTCAAAAGGTTAATCTTAGGTTCTATAACAGCGGTGTTATCTGCAGGGGAAATTATGGAGGTTGCAAATCTTGCTATCATCTCAATAATGGCTAGTAATCCTTTATGTCTACATCATAGCAGAATTAGGCTCCTCTCATTCTTCTGACTTGGTGATCTTTCATTAGTTTTACAAAAGCGGTTTAGTTTTGTGGAAGGGCTGTTTCCATTTCAACTATAAACTAGATTTCTCCCACAGTTAGCTTAGGCCAACCCCAGGAATGATTAAGGGCAGGCAGTTTGGAAGTTAAAGACAAGATGAGGGTTGGTTAGATCAGATCTCTTTCATTGTTATAATTTTCTCAGTTACAATTTTTGCAGAGAGGTTTCACCATCTACAGAGCTGTGCTAGAGATAGGACAACAAGTTAGACCTTCCTTACCCTCAAGGAACTTTCAGTATAATAAAAGGAGATACGCAAGTATAATGAAGTAACAACATAGGTTAGCCAAGACAGATATTTGCAAGGTGCTCTGGAAAATAGCAAGAACTATAGGAATCAGAATGTCACTGCAGAGTCCTAGAAAGTGAGGAGTTGTTGATCATCAGATGGGAGGACACCATGGGCAGTCGCAGAGGAATCCACGAAAGTTTAGGGAGTTACATATTCTTGCTCTTTTTTTCTGTTTTGTGCACTTTTCTCCCTTTTTTAACCTTTACCCTTCCTCTACCTTCTCCCTCTCTTCTCACTTTCCAAATCCTACTTCGCCATCTTCACTTTTAGAATAGGTGGCAGTCTGTCTGTCTACTCTGGGTGGCACACAGGTAGTCATGAAAACCCACCCCCTTGGTGCAATAGCAAACATCACAGTGGGGAGGCTGCTGAAAAGGGCCAGTGGAGTGTGACGGTTGTATAAAGTGAGGGGGGTGCCGATGGAGGATGGCTGTCTACATGGTTCTATTTCACCAGCAGTCCTAGCATTGAGAAAAGTAGAAAAGTCATTCTCCCCTTTCCCTCGGCCACATTTCTCTGTACACAGATTTACTACTCAAAAATGGCAACCCATTCACAGCTTTTGTTTAGATCTGGGTCATAGTGTGGAGGTAAAGCTGAGTGAGTTTACCTCTTTATGAAAACTGCTTGTCTTTAATGTCCTAAAGGCAATCTGACTTAGAAAAGGAGGGAGAAATCCCCTTTTGTAACCAACTGTGCACTCTCCACTTGCCCAACTATAATTTCTTTTTTTCACTTTTTGAGACAGTCTCGCTCTGTTGCCTGGGCTGGAGTACTGTGGCAGGATCTCGGCTTACTGCAACGTCTGCCTCCCAGGCTCAAGCGAGTCTCCTGCCTCAGCCTCCTGAATAGCTGGGATTACAGGCGCCTGACACCACGTCTGGCTAATTTTTGTATTTTTAGCAGAGACGGGGTTTCACCATGTTCGCCATTCTGGTCTCTAACTCCTATGCTGGTCTCGAACTCCTGACCTCAAGTGATCCACCACCTGGGCCTCTCAAAGTGTTGTGATTACAGGCGTATGCCACCATGCCCAGCCAATAATTTCTTTTTATGACTAGGATCCTTACCTATAATTTAGTCCTCTCTTTTTATCTCTTCTCTTGGTTGATTTACTAGGTGTGTTTTTCTTATCTTGCTACTGTTATCAAAGATACCAAGTTGCTAGAGAACTCTGTTTTCCATAACAGAGAAAGATTAATCTTTTAATTGGATTAGAAATAAGCAAGATCATAGAATTTTAGATTTAAAGTGACAGAGAAACCATTAATGTCTTCATTTTCCACAAAAGAAAGTGGCAGCCAAAGAGGGTAAGCATATCTGCAAACTGATTATTAGAAGAAATTGAGCTTCTAGAAGGCAGGTGTCATTTCCTCATCTGATCTCCAGTGCTCTCCCTGTTACACCATTGCTCTGTTCTAACTTGTGATGAAACCTGTCCTCCCAAATAATGTTGTCTTCTTATTGGCTTGGTGAAGTCTCAATCTTTATTGGGTTTAGGTGATAGGTTATAATGATTGAGTCACTCAGTGCTGGGCTCTTGTGTGTCACTGCCATTCTGTGTGCTCATGGTGGTTGGCTGATGAGGCCCAGCACAGGGCAGGGTTGGTCGGCCAGGACTGGAAACAAAGAGGGAATGGTGGTGTTGGGGTGTATGTGGCTTCGTCAGTGGTGGTCCACTTTTGAATTAGGCCAAGATATCGTCTACTTGTTTGTTCACTTGGTTTGAGGGAAATTAAGATTTACTGTGTTTTGAGATATTCGTCTTAGTGTAGTGCCGTGAAATCAAACAGATCTGGGTTTAAAATGTGGGCCTACCGTGACTAGCTTATGTGATCTTGGACAGGTCATTCACACTCCCAGATTGTTTATCTGTGGTAAAACAAGTATGATAAATACCCTCCTAGCCGCCTAGCCAAGTGTGGTGGTTCACGCCTATAATCTCAGCAATTTGGGAGGCTGAGGTGGGTGGATCACAAGGTAAGGAGTTCGAAACCAATCTGACCAACATGGTGAAACCCTGTCTCTACTGAAAAATATAAAAATTAGCCAGGCATGGTTGCAGGCACCTGTAATCTCAGGTACTCAAGAGGCTGAGGCAGGAGAATCTCATGAACCCTGCAGATGGAGGTTACAGTGAGCCAGATCGTGCCACTGCACTTCAGCCTGGGTGATAGAGGAAGACTCCATCTCAAAAAACAATAATAATAATAAAAGAGGGTTTGACAATTTAGAGGTTCATTTAGACTGGGCATGGTGGCACATACCTGTAGTCCTAGATACTAGGGAGGCTGAGGCAGGAAGATCCCTTGAGCCCTGGAATTCAAAGCTGCAGTGAGCTTTGATTGTACCACTACACTTCAGCCTGCACAACAGAGCAAAACCCTAACTCCAGTAAATAAATAAAGGTTCATTCAGTAACAATCAGCGAAGAATCCAAAAGGCACCTAATAGCACATCAGGTATTTGAGAAAAGGAAAAAGAAGTTGTGCGGGAAAATAGAAACATGGATTGTTAAAGCTGGTGGGGCCGGAAGCAGTGGCTCACGCATATAATCCCAGCATTTTGGGAGGCCGAGGCAGTTGGATCACCTGAGGTCAGGAGTTCAAGACCAGCCTGGCCAATATGGTGAAACCCCGTCTCTACTAAAAATACAAAAACTAGCCAGGCATGGTGGCAGGCACCTGTAATCCCAGCTACTTAGGAGGCTGAGGCAGGAGAATCACTTGAACCCAGAAGGCAGAGGTTGTAGTGAGCTGAGATCTTACCACTGCACTCCAGCCTGGGTGACAAGAGCGAAACTCAAAAAAAAAAAAAAAAAAATGCTGGGGGAATCAGAGGGGTCATTGTGGCCAACTGCCTCATTTTATTGATGGGTAGATTGAGTCCCAGAGAGAATTAGTAGTTACCCATGAGTAAATATCTAATTATTAACAAAGCATATAACACATTTCTCCTCAGGGCTCTGGATATTATTTCACAAAAAGGGATTAAAATTCAAGGGATCATTCCTGACATCCAATAAATGACCAGACTACTGAAAGAGGAATCTCATTAAGGCCTGTCTCTTAGCATGTGTTTCCCCTGCTCAAAAACCTCATGACTCTTTGCTTTCCATTGAATAACGTCATGACATCCTTTGGGGTCTACCCCAACCTACCTCTTCAGAGTCCTCTCTTATTTTCCACATATTATATCCTTCAGACGATTCCCCGTTTCTTAGTGCTCCATATGTGAAGTCTGCAGAGATCCTGCTTCTTGAAGGCACTGTTCACATCCGACCGCTTCCCTGAATCCTCCACTTGCCACACCAGGGACTTTGCTGCCATTGCCGTTTGTGTTTGCTCCATGGCACTTAACCACGTTCGATCTTTCTTTACAGCTTGTTGCTTCTGCATTGTAAGAGGCAGGGACTAACTTGTTAGCCTTTTTCTCTTCCACAGTGCCTCTTATGTAATAGGTAACCATCTAATGTTTGTTGATTTAAATAGCCATTTACCTGCCTTTTTGATTTCTGGCCTCATTTTCCACTTCTTAAATATGTTGTATGAATTAACTAGAAAAGAGATTTAAGAAATGAATGTTTTTGATGCTTCTCTGGCATGACAGGTATCTGGGAAAATGTGAAAGCATACCTAACTTCATTCTGGGAAGAGTGTTTACACTATAAAATCACCCACTCACCAGATCAAAGTAAAAGGAAGTACTTTTCCTTCCTTCAGTCATATGACTAACTGTCTGCAGGTGGGAGCTTGAGAAGCTTTTGATTGGAGTATACACTAACTGGTGACATGAATTCCAGAAAAGCAAAGCTCTCAAAGGAGAAGAGTTCTGCCTCTAGGTTAAGGGATGAAGTCCTGAAAGGTTTCAGATGTTCAAGGATTAGAAAGGTGGACTTGGAAGATGGGGAATGGAGGTCCAGCTCGAGCTGCACAGGAAAGCATTTATTTATACTCCTTGTGGCATACTAAAGGATTAAAGAGGCAGGGGAGACTGATAAATGACCTGACCTGGGCTTCTAAAGGGGGACTGTTTCTCTTTCGTACAACTTTTCCTGCAAAACCTTTAGAGCAACAGAATGCCTCTATCTTCAGCAAGTAAAGCAGCCAAGCCGGTTTGACCAGCTTGAGGGAAACACCAAACAAAGCTGGCAACTCCAATCTCATGCATACTAGTTACTCATTATCTTCTGGCCTCTGGAAAAAGATAGAGTAGCTCCCTGATTGGATCCTGAGGTTGAAGTAACTCCACATCTCTCTCTGTCCTCTGACCAGAGCAACAAGAAGAGTATCTGGAATGCTTGGGAGACATTTTAAGCAGGACAAATCCAGCCTTAGGCTAGACTGCACCTGTCCACAGCCCAGCCCAGGCCCATGGAAAAGAAAAGTAAAACCTTTGTCTTTAAGCACATAAAATATGTGTGAAACCCACAAGGCTGGAAAAGAAAGGGAAGTGGAGGACAAAAGGCACTGGGACTCTAGCTGGGAGCATGAAGACTACGGGAGTCTACGGAAAAGGAAGCTTACGGTGCTGGACGGACTCTACAGAGAAAATGACTTGGATCCCAGGTACTGGGCCAAAGGGCAGCATCGGCCCTACAGAAAAAGGGATTGTGGATACTGGGATTTTGAGCAGAGTGAACCAAGCTATATGGACTCTGGGGAAGCACACGAAAGTGAAATGGGCTGTGTGTACCACAGAGGTCATGATGGTTATAGGAGTCCGGAACATGTAGATGATGAGAATCCCAGCCCTGGGACAAAGGATAATTCGCCTATGGGAAGCCCAGATGTGACCTGGAAAGCTGGCGGATACAGAGAGGCAAATGGCTACCCAGATCATAAGAATCTGAATTATAATCCTGAGGACTCTGAAAAGGCTAAACAGTGGACTGGCTGTAGGAGTTTGGATGATTCTTCAGCGAACTTAGTTCGACCTCAGTTGTGGTATATAGACCATAAGAATGTTAATTATAATCTTGAGGATTGTCAGGAAACTAATTTTTATTATAGAGAACACAGCGATTTATATCACGTTCCTAGGAATTATCCTATTGGTCAGTCTGTGAGCTTTTCAGATTTGAATTGTGTCAATGAAGATAAACAATTTATCAAGTACCATGAAGGGGACAGGAATGTTTATCAAAATGACAAAATCTATCCCAAAGCAAAGACTCATATCATGGATCAGGGTAATTTTGATACAGAAAATAAAGGCTATGATGCTTTATTTGCAAACTGTGTATATGAATCTCGTAATTCCAGAGGAACAGATTCTCTCCATCAAATGGAGAATTTGGAGTATAATGGCATTGACATACCAAGAATGACAGCACATGGGGGCAGTGGGATCCTCCCGGATGGCTTGCAGACCCAGCGTACCAGGGGAGACCACGGAGAACGTCATTTGGGGATTCCTCAGAGCTCGTCATTAGAGAAGAACATCTGGCATTTAGAGGAAGAGAGAAAATTAAATGGCCCAGAGACTTGGAGAAGGAATAGTTGCCTCCGCCGCACAGCACCCAGCACCCTGAGGCGCTCAGAGTTCGTGCAAAACAGGAAGAAAACCCAAGGTATGAACTCAGCCAACCTCTTTAGGATAAAGCATAAAAATAGATTTAAAGGGTGGTTATACCAGGTAGTAGGAGCTCTTGTGTTCTTAAGGAACCTGGGCCCTGAACTTCTTATCAAGTGCACCTTGAGTGAGAACAACCTTAGAGATTTAATTGCTTTGGAAGGCGTTGTACAGAGCAAGAGTATATATACAATGCTGTAAATGTGCAACATTCAGATAGCGCTCTCATGGGAACTTTTTTTACTCTTCTTGGTTTTTTTCATATGTCTCTAATCTCAAGTATCTTTCCTTTCTTACTTTCATGTTTTTGTTCATCTTGTGCGGACAGCAAGTTTATTATCAGGGCATCAAGCTAAAATTCATTTTCCCAGCATGTTCTTTTTCTCTCAGACCCTACACTTCTTTGGACATTAATGGAAAAGAAGACTTCGTTTATTTTTATTTTATTTTATTTTTGAGACAAGATCTCACTCTGCCCCCCCCCCCCCCCCCGAGGCTGGAGTGCAGTGGCATGGTCATGGCTCACTGGAGCCTCAACCTCCTAGGCTCAAGAGATCCTCCCACTTCAGCCTCCCGAGTAGCTGGGACTTTGGGCATGTGCCCCCATGCCTGGCTAATTTTTTATTTTTTAGGGGCAGGGTTTATTATTGTAGGGGCAGGGTTTTACCATGTTGCCCAGGCTGGTCTTGAACTCCTGGGCTTAAGTGAACCACCCACCTCTGCTTCCCAAAGTGCTGGGATTACCATGAGCCACCATTGCCAGTCCTTAATTTAATTTTTTTTTTAATACTGCTGCTTTCAGAGCAGGGCTACCCCGTAGGCAGTGTGCCCAGAGTAGCCTTGACTTGTTTTATAGGTTGTTCACTCCTTGACATTCAGGAATCTTAAGTGAATGCTGAGTACCGACACTCTTGTGGAATCCGGAAGATTACTTCTAGCTTTCAAATCACTTCATCTCACTGAGCCTTAACTACATTATCTGTGAAATGGGAATATTAGTCTTTCATCATATAGAGATTATTTCTTTCTTGCCATTATGTCTTCTCTTCTTTGATTCTCATAAGTGAACTTTATTTATACTGTGCTATTTTTATAATTACTGGACTCCCTGTTAAACCTTTTATGTGGGTGTATGTTGTATGTTGTCTTCATGCCAAGCAGGCTTTCTGGTTCTGGCCAACTTGGGAGTCCACGTTGTGACCAGAGGATAAAGATTAGTCAGAGAATGTGAACGATCTAGAAAATCCATCTGATCTGACTACCCTCCCTCCACTTCTGACTAGGTGGAAAGTTTCTCATCTAGGTTTCCTTCAGAATGGGCTGGCTGGTCAGATTTGTACTGGGGGTCACCACAGATTGAAAAAATAAGCCTGCTGTGGCCCTGGAATGACCGGTGGTTTACCTGCCATTCCTCCAACATGGGGTTGACTTAACTTGAGTTTCCAGGGCACCATTTTGGACCTAACAAACTCTTAACCTGCACCTATAAAGACAAAAATGAAACCAAACCCAGCTTTCATTGGGAGGCCAAGGTTTTTAGCAGCTAGTCATTTTTTCTAGGTGCATTTTTTCTGAAATGATAGGGATTGGATAACTTCTAAATTCCTCCCAGCTAAAAAATAGTCTGATTTTACCATTCTTTATATTGGTTTTTATATTGTTCCTCTTCCCTCCCCCATCTGTTCCTTCAGTGAACTTTGTTTCCTATCTTTAGTTCCTTATTGTATTAAGCCTCCCAACTGTAATCAAAGTGTGTTTATTCTTTTGACTTAACAGGAGTCAAACGTTTCTCTCTGCAGTGTTGTAATGTGCCCTCTGATCTCTCTGAAACCAGCTTGGTTCCACCCAATACCATTTCCATTTCTACAACTCTTTTTAGCTTTGAGGATTTAACTTTTGAAAGTATATTCATATTTAGTTCACCCCTTTTTATACCCCTAATATCCTCCTTGACCTGTAACAAAATCTTTTGTTTTCACTAGAAATCTTTCAGCATTCTAACATTCTTTGTTAGCTCTCTCAAGCCATCACCCTTCCTGAATGTTACAAAATGTTACAAGGGAACACTGTGTAATTACACAAAGGAACAAGCATCAGAGTTGGTCTGCCTCAAGTTCAAATCTCAGCTCCACCATTTACTAAATGGCCTTAACTTTAGAAAAATTACTTAAACTCTTGGAGCTTCGAATTCTCAATTTGTAAAGTGAAGATCATAACACCTGTCTCATAGTGAGATAGAAAAATAAAGCAATCACATGTCTGGAACATAGTAGGTGCTCACAAATGGCCATTCCTTTGTGTTTTATCCACCCACCTCCCTTCCCCTTTACAAGTTGCCCCACCCACCTGTCCCTCCTTGGTTTTGGCTCTGAGCTCCAGATTGATAGTCCCTGCTCCCATTGGACATCTACGCTGAGACTGTAAACACTTCAAGTTTAATTATCTAAGTGGAATGCCCTGTCCCTTCCTCCTCTCCCATCTTCCCCTTGCCACCCCTCCTCCATCTGAGACAGAGCTCTGTTCATTGGCTGCTCCCCAGCCTCTCTCCCAGGCTGGGAGCCAAGTTTTCCCCCAGGCTTTCCTTCTCACCTGCCTGATCAGTCCTTCTGAGGTGGCCTCCATCTGAGATCTTTTAATGCAGATCTGTTGAGGGTTTGCTCTTAGTCTTTGGGTGTGGCCCCTGGTCCTGAGAGGTGGTCCTTACTCCTTAGGTGCGGCCCTTCTGAGGTTTCAGCAGAAAACTGGAAGTGTTTAATCGAACCTCCTAACTTGGAGGGACTCACACTTCAAACTCTGGCTTCCCAGCGCCAGACAGTTGCTGAAGATCTGCTGGGCTCTTCTGCCCTGCAGCTTTTGGCTGGGTTCCTTGGAGTCCCATCACCTGCATGCGCAGTTCAAGGACTGAGAGGCATTTCTGCACAAATTTGGGGGCTCTCCTCTCTGTGACTTATTGTTTTCCAGGATTTCCCCCTTAATAGCTAAAGTCTTCAGAGCTCCAGACTGGAACCTTTGGCTGCTCAGCCCAGTAAGATTGCCCCATGTGAGCTTTCTTCTTTTGCTTTATTTCCCAGCATGCTAAAAGGCTAGGGAATGCCCTGTGGGGAGGACTGGAGACAGGTGGATCTCACCTGGTTTGCTTCCCTTGTTTTGAGTCATGTCCCCTCAAGGTTCTGCCTACTTTTGATTACTTTTCAGTGCTATATATAGCTATTTTAAAAAAGACCTGTCAGAAGGCTGAGGTGGGAGGATCACTTGAGCCTGGGAGGTTGAGGCTGTCGTCAGCTATGTTGACGTCACTGTACTCCAGCCTAGGTGACAGAGTGAGACACCTCTCTAGAAAAATAAAAGTGAATAAATAAAAGTTAAAAAAATAAATCTTGTAATGTGTTTTTGATCGTTTATCAGTAGGGAGGTTAGAACAACGTGAGCTACTCTGCCATTACTACACCAAGTGTGGGCACTAAAGTTTTGCACTTGCCGATAACATAGTGGTTATGACAAGAAGGGAACCTGGTGTTTCAAATTCCACATTACCTGTTTTGAATGTAAGTGATGTTAGGATATCTAAATGAAGTGATCTTACAGAGAAATATGAAACAAAAATAAAGGTGAGAGTTAGGGCTAAAGGTTCAGGGTTGGAAGGCTGCAACATAGGAGCCTCTTAAGTTATTACTGGAAGGAAACTTGTATAGCCACAAGTCCTGTGTTTTTCTAAATAATGGATAGCCACTCATGATTGGGTCTTGAAATCTGTTTGGGGGTTGCAACCAGCAGTTCTGAAAAATAAAAGCAAATAGAAAAAACTTTCATACTACATTTTATGTACTAAAAGTAAGCATGTAATACACATTCTGTGTATGTGTGAGTGTGTATATAGACATAAATGTATTATGTAAATGTGTGTATATATATAGTCGCAACCTAAAGTGTGGGTCAGGCTGGGCACAGTGGCTCATGCCTGAAATCCCAGCACTTTAGGAGGCTGAGGTGGGCAGATCACTTGAGGTCAGGAATTTGAGACCAGCCTGGCCAACATGGTGAAACCCCCACTCTACAAAAATACAAAAATTAGCCGGGCATGGTGGCGTGTGCCTGTAATCCCAGCTACTCGGGAGGCTGAGGCAGGAGAATCGTTGAACCCAGGAGGTGGAAGTTGAAGTGAGCCGAGATTGTGCTACTGCATTCCAGCTTGGGCGACAGTGAAACTGTGTCTTAAAAAAATAAAGTGTAGGTCACAGTAAAAAATGTTTGGAAAACACTTAAATGCAATCCATTTATTTTAAAAATGAAGAGACAGAACTTGGAGAAATTGAAATGTGTTTCCAAGGTAACTGGTTCAAGCATTAGATCAGGAATAGAGTCTGGCCCTCTTGGTACCCAGACCACTGCTTTTCCAACATCGCCACATTTGAAGGCAGAAGTACAGCCATAGATTTATTCTGCATAGATGAATTTAGAAGATCAGAAAATTGTTACGTATTTCTCTGGAGAGTTCACAGAAAGAAAAATAAATGTTAGAGAAGTGAGAGGGGAGGCTGCCACCAAAGGGTGCAACTATGTTATATACAGCCGAGGTACAAGAGAGGTTATGGACCTGGGAAAGACTTTTGCATCTGGTAAGTTGGTGGAGGGTAGGAGCAGAGTCATAGAGCATATGACAGGGAGTTTAGGAGGGAAGTGGTGATAAGGATATGAAATCAGTCCCTTAAAAGTTGGGACAGTAATTGCTGTGGAGCAGGAAAATCTTCTGTTTTGTTTTTCTCCCAGGAAAGGAGGAGGCAGTAAGAGGTTTGCGGCAAACATATTGGAGGAGATCAGGAGGAAGTCAGAAATTTTTTTATTTTTTGAGACACTCTCACTCTGTTGCCCAGGCTGGAATGCAGTGGCGTGTTCTCAGCTCACTGCAGCCTCCTCCTTTGGGGTTCAAGTGATTATTGTGCCTCAACCTCGTGAGGAGCTGGGATTACAGACATGCGCCACCATGCCTGGCTAATTTTT